AGAGATCTGGGTCATCTCAGCAAGCTGCGCTCTAGCCTCGCCCCAAGGTGACCCCCGAGGACCAGCCTCCCTATCTTGGGCACGAGGTGTGCAAGCTCTGCGAGCCAGGACTTGTGCTCAGCAGGTCTCACCTTCAGCCTGGTGCCTGCAAGCAAGCACTCAGGGTGGAGAGCTGCTGTCAATACCCCAAAGCCTCCATGACCTCCAGCTCACACACTGCGGCCAAGCCTCAGGTGGCTGTTCTCTTGAGGGACTGAAATCCAAGCACTACACTGCATGACTCTGGTGGGGGACACAGATTAAGGCTCGAAACCGAGCGTTTTAACCCCCGGTTTCATATCTGAAGGCAAATGTCATGTGATTCAGGACTTCCCCTGGACACCCACAGCAATCGCATGCTCTCATCCCAGACTGGACTGAATGACACAACAGGGCATCAGCTATACAGGCAGCTCAGTGAGAAGTACATTTCCAGCCCACCTCTGAGCCTTGTCTGTAAAACAGGAAGGGCTCAGCTCAGAGCGCTGCTGGAGACGGAGGAAAATGGACCACAAATCCAAACACAGCTTCCTATGGCTGTGCCTGCCTCATCCTTGGGCCTTGGGCTATAGGGGAACCTCAGTAAGAGTTTTGACTGAAGCCATTAAAGCAGCCTGTGCCTTCCAGATAGTTCTTGCCCATACTACTACTACTACTTACTCCTCCATCATCATCATCATCATCATTTTTTTAAAAATTTCTTAACGTTTATTATATTATTGACAGAGAGAGAGAGAGAGAGAGAGAGACAGACAGACAGACAGACAGAGACAGAGCATGAGCAGAGGAGGGACAGAGAGAGGGGGAGACACAGAATCCAAAGCAGGCTCTGGGCCCCGAGCTGTGAGCACAGAGCCCGACATGGGGCTCAAACCCACAAAACGGGAGATCATGACCTGAGCTGAAGTCAGATGCTTCACCGACTGAGCCATCCAGGCGCCCCATTGTCATCATCATTTTAAATGAATACTTACTTTGTCAGTAAGTACCCGGCACTATTCTAGGTACCTAAGATAGAGAAGAAAAAGCCCTTCCCCGTGCGGCTTTCGTTCTAAGTATGGGTGGGGAGGGTAGATACAGAGACAAATACATTTGTCCATGATGCTGACTCTTAGCAAGACAGGAAGCAGCAGAGAGTGGGAGGGCAGAGCTGGGCAAGCAGTCCAGGAGGGAGGGTGTCATTTTATTTTTTATTTGTTTAAAAAAAAGAAGGCTCCATGCCCAACGTGAGGCTTGAACTCATGACCCGGGGATTAAGAGTCCCATGCTCTGACGACTCTGGGCCCCTAAGCCAATGAGATCTTAAATGTAATGGCAACGGTAGGCCTGTTGGAAGAGAGGTGACCAGCAATCCGAGGAGGGGAGGGTACCATCGGCCACCCCCACCTTCCACCAGACTCTCCCACCAGACTCACGCTCTTCCTGTCCCCTGGGGACACAGGCCAAAACTTGCGGCGAAGAAGGTGGCAGTGCAGGCTGGTCAGCTTCCCAGACACCGCAAGCTCAGAGACCAGCACTCTACGCTTTAGAAACTGGGCGAATTTTCTTATCAAGTCTCTGCTGGGAGGGCAGAGAGCATGCTGTTCACGGACTTCGGTGTCTTGGCTAAGCTGGGCGGAAGGGCGCCCAAGAAAACCCTCGTCTCCCTCGCCTGTGCCAGGCACCCTGCACTTGTCACCTGGTAGACTCTGCCAAGAATGCAGAGTGAGGCACTATCACCACCATGCTGCCTTTATAGAGGAGGCGACCTGAGGTCACGAGCCTGGAAACCAGGCTGCGGTGATCAGGACACACCCCTCCCCCACTAAACCACACTGCCTCCAGTGGTCTTCACCATCTAGGCCCTGCTGCAGAAACCAGTGTGTGGATCTCAGCATCCCACACAGCCAGCGGCTCCCCTCCTGGTGGAGTGCTATTCCTGTGATTCACACGGTCTTCCCTCCAATGTCCACCCTGCTGCCTTAGTGGGCTGGGTTCCTCCTTGAGTCTCAGACCCCCCCACCCCCGCCTCAATCTCCATGCGCCCGAACGTCTCCTTCCCCGGGGGAGGGGCCGGGCCCAGACGTCCCGCTCAAGCTTGGACTCCTGAGGCACACGTGCCGCTTTGACACTGATCGCGCCCAGTGGCCACCCTCGGGTGCCACACCGATGGCGAGCACTACCTCTGAGGGAGTGTCACCCCTGCCTAGGTTCTGTCTCTCAAAGTGGTAAACCAAAGACCCATTTGCAAAGCTGTTAAAGTCTGTCCTCCCTGCTGACCGGAGAAGATGCCCAGGTTCTACTCTTGGGGACGGTCACATTTAGACTCCTGCGTGCAGTGTCGGGACACCTGCGAGGCACACCACCCTTCGCTCACCATTGCTCCCTTCGAAAGCCACCACGCTCCCCGATGCAAAGTGCTTGCTGAGCTCTCTGAAGGGTCTCGTGGCAAATTGGCAAAAACAACCCTAAACCCCAAGCCCCCCAAAGAACAAAAAACTCCCACAAAAAACAAAGTTTTGAGCAGACACACCTCCCTCCCCCAGGGCCTTGCCTGCTCCGTGGACACGGAGGTCACCGTGCGCCACTCACAGAGCGGGAACTGCCAGGAAAGGGTATTCTAGGGACGGTCTCCACAGCGACAGGGACATGTTCACAATGCACACACAGGGAGATCTTTCTTTTAAATATCATCCTTCTCTGGGCTTTTGGAGAAACACATGCTGTGAAAACGATCACGGTTGTGCTTCTCAAAGTTAGTCATGTTTCCTGCCAGCTTTCTTCACTCTCAGAGATGGACGGATGGCCCAAGAGCCAGGCATGTCATTAAGGAATGCTGTCTTGGTCCCTCGGATTTGCCTGATCTGGACGAGAGCTGGCGATACTGGAGTACTAGGGGAGGACAGCACTCCGGTCGTCAGGTAAATAGGAACAGCACCGCCCCCACAAGGTACCTTACCTCACCTCTGAAGGACTCCAGAGGAGCGGATGAGGAAAAAATGTGGCCTTGTCATTGCGTCTGAAGTGATTATGAAGTACTCTAGAATATTCCTTTTCAAAAGTCACTGTATGCAGAATAAAAACATCATATTGTAAAAAAAGTACTCTCTAAAGGAAGGGCATAGGCCCCTTAATAATCGACTTGAATTCATGTTCCAACTGCAGTAAAGGTAACACTACCTATGTTGCCATTAAAATCAAACCGATGTCAATCAGTGATAGTGGCTTTTCAATATGAACAGCTCAGGTGAATTCTGCGGGTGAACACCCGTCTCTCCTCGGACCAGTAACGTACTAATGCAGACACCACTTACGACAAATCAACAACTGAAAACAATATGAGCATCTACCTGTGTCTGCATATAGAGTGGCCATTTCATCAGACGTGGGGGAAGCTACCTGCTCTCAAAGGAGCCCAACTTCCAGTATTCAATTTGTCCTTGAGAACAAAACTATGGAAAACTATTAGAATGTCTCCTAGGTGTAAAGGTCAGAAGGAACCACGCCGCAGCCACACCTTGGCTTGGCAGAGCTCTGCTTCACCTCTGCCAGCTTCCACAGGGTAGCCACGCAGAGGATACCTCGCACCCTGATGCAGAAGAGAGCTGGTTCCAGAGAAGGAACAAAAATGCCTCAGGTGATAAGAGGAGGGAGAGGGGACTTGCTGGGTTGAATAAGGGAGGCTCGAAAGTTCTAGTAAGGTAAGTGTGAGCTCCACGGTCAGGTCAACCGCCACCCTGGCTGCCGGGGTCCCTCGCAACTCACTGCTTCCCTGCCGGCTCCGCCTCTTCTCCCAGGCCTCGCCCTTGTCTGGGAGCTTCTCTGCCAGCTCGGCCAGCTCAGAATAGGATCCACCCACCCACAGGCTGAGGGCTCCCAGGGCCTCTCCCGGGGTCTGTCCCGGGTGCCCATACGGTGTCTTGAAGGCACCTCAAACTCCGGGCATTCAAAACTGCTCTCCTGTTCTCCCTCCCGGCCACAGCAGTGGTGATTAACCACAGAATGGTTAATTCCAATGGACAGCAAACCCATCCTTCCTGTTCAGGCCAGAACTCATCCACATCCAATCAAGAGCAGATGGGTTGACTCTGTTTTCAGGACATAATCCAGAACTGACCACCGTCTCCCTAGGCCAGTTACCTCTTGCCTAATCATTGCCGACAGCCTCTGAACAGCTTTCCTGGCTTCTTCTTGCTCCCAGAGAGGCCAAGCCACACCCCCCAACCATCACCCCATGTAACGTGGCACCAACCAAACCTCAGGTCCCTAGCAATGCCTCAACCCGCCCTGCAATTTTTTTCCTGGCATTGACCACTTTGTTCCTACTTTACTTACTAATGCTTATTGACTGCCGTCCTATTAGGACATATGATTCAAGAGGCTCTAGGGATCTTTGTTTTCTTCCCTGATGTGTCACAAACACCTAAAACAGTGCTGTGCCTGTGGTAGTAAATATCTATGACCGAGTGACTGTCTAGACTTTCATACTTTGACCAACAAGAAAAAAACCCAGAACCCAAAACAGCACACCAATCGATGTGGCAGTTTCCCCATGAGATTCAAGTGTCACACTAACTGATGAATTCATTACTCCCTCTGTATAACCATGCAGGGTGCTGGGAAAAAGCTGTAGGATTGATTCATGTACTGAATCAAAAAACAAGAGAGGAGAATTACATACGTCGTGGAGAACCAACCCAGAACCGTCAAGACCTGGCGTCTCTCCACATGGGCTCGCGAGGCTCCTGATTCCCTTCCTCCTCAGGTCACCAGGAGGGCCGACTTCTCCCTTTATTTCCTTTGGAGAAAAAAGATGCTAGTAATCACAAAATGCCGGGATCCACGCTAAGGACAAAGTGGCCCCAGGCCTTCATACACTTTCCATTTGCTTTTGTTCAAGTTGGTGGCGGAGGCAAAAACATTTAGTCACTGCCTTAATTTGAGTCTTAAATACAGCATTAGGAGACAATGGAAGACTTTACTGAGAAAAAGTGAATTTTTAATTATCTTGTGAATCTACTTAGAAAAACACAAGCAATGTTCACAACTATAAATTTAAACCTTTTGCACTAAAAAAAAAAAAAAAAAACACAAAACAACAAACACAAAACCACAGGCATGAACTGTAAACCTGTATTAATTATCAACTAGTCTTAAGGTTAAGGTTAATTCTTAGTAGTAATTCAGTATTTTCCTCCTTGGCAATTTTAATGTTTTAGCACCAAATGATCTCCCACAGAGGTACTCGTAACAACTCTGGCTGCCAGTGTAAGGAGATGCTTCCGTATGCACTACTTCACACGCACAGTCCACGCTCACACCACACAGACAGGAGGCCCGTGGCGATGATGTCACACGCTGACTTTCAGGGCAATGGAAATAAGACAGAGGGCACGCGTGTCACACATCTTTAATGTAGTGCATTCGTAGAAAAAAGGCCAGCTTCCGCTCCCAGGCGTGCTCTCGTCCTTATATTTTAATATCATGATTTAGAAGATGCAGACGTTATTACCTAAATATTACTCTATACATTTCCATCAGTGTTCAGGAAAACACTTTAAATTGCTACTTAATTTACACCGTAATTACTGGGTTACAGCTTTAGCTCGTTGGCAATTTTGGAAGCAATATTTTTGAAAGCTATGGATGTCCCTGATATCCGCTTAAACCGGACCCCGTTCAGAGACAGTCTTGGCAGCTTGCACACCTCCATCTCCCACTGCACGAGGTTCTCCGCGTGCCCATCACCGTGGACACAGAAGAGTAGGAAGCGTTCTCTCTGCTCATAGTCGCAGTTATTGGCATCCAGCACTTTGCGGATCTCCCGCATCATGTCACTGGGGTCCATGGAACTAGTGGTTTTCATGCTCCAGGTAAAGCGCAGGGAGCGAGGTTTTGCTTCTTTGTTTTCCTCCTTTTGCTCAGCAGATACGTTGCGACTGAAATGCACAGTAGCAGGTTTATTTTTAATTGCACAGAAAAACCAACCTTTTCTGTTACAGCTAGCTCATAATCAACATCTTCGATGTAGGATGACTGACCTCCACATTTTTCTTGCACAGGCTCACATCTGATTATCTGTTCCTTTACGGAGAAGTATTCATCTACCACCCACCCCCGGACTCCCTTCCAAATCATAACCCATACAGGCAAAATTCTACCTGGCTGGAAAATCTTCATCAGCCATCTATATTTAATAAAATTAAGAAGATAATTTGTGAAACAGAATCCTTGGAGATCAGCAAATTACATGGCGGAGCGCCTCTCCAAAAGCCCAGCTCTCCCCTCTAGGCTGACTGCAGGCGGCAAGGAGCCGAAAGGGCCCCCCAGAGGCCCAGCTCAGGGAGGACGGGTCGGCAGGCCAGTAGTACCACTTTTCTTTTAATTCAGCTCATCACGACCTTTCGCTGGAGATGGTCCTCAGGACAGCCAGTGACTCCACATGGTTCAAAATCACTTTCCTTGCAAATGGCACCCCCCCGCCCCATGCTGAGTACACAGCTGGGTGTGGGGTGGGCTGTTCTCAGTTCCCTCCGCCCACCTGGATATTTTTCCATTTTGTTAAAATTCTGATGTCACAGTTAAAAATAATTCTTAGATGACATTATCTTACTACTGAAACAGGAAAATGAAACGTTAAAGCTTATCTGCTGCTGAGCACTGAAACCACCGGTGTGAATGCAAGCTGTATCGATGCACAGAGTGTAAGCTGTGGTCCCAACATCTAAGAGGTGATGTCATAGCGGGGTCCCAGGCACAATTCTCTTGGGAACCCCAAGACCAGGTGTCTACTATCCTGCCGTTCCCCAGCATTTAATCATTGCCACAAACCCGTTATTTACACTCTCACGTGTACATCTGAATGTTTCAATTAGGAAGGTGAACACCTAACACTCTTGTGTATTAAAAACACCCTGCATGTGCATGATAAATACACTTAATCCAATGGCAAAATCGGCAAATTCATCAAAGCTGAGGGTTTGGGGCTATAGGTTTTACTTTAGATAGAGCTGCCAGGCTGCTGGTAAAATATTCAATTTGGTTCACACCCACTAAAGTTGATCAGGAGCTTCCTGTGTATAAAATGCTGTTTTAGGTACTAAATAGGTTACAAAAATGAGCAAAAGCTCTCAAGCTGCGTTGGGGTTGAGGGAGGGAAGACTGCAACTTAAGGAAATAGCACTAGCACAGGAAAGGTATGAGCACACCATGAGGGGGCGGGGGCAGAAAAGACAGGTAGGGCCCTCTAAAGGGAGGAGGGCGGGGCAAATGAGGAAATGGGTTCCAGGAGGGAGGGGCATCTGGGAAGAGCTACCAAGAGCCCATAGAATTCCAATACAATGGGGGTGGGGAAGGAGAGATCGGTGTGCTGAGCAGAGGGAGTATCATAAGCAAAGGCAAGGAGGCGTGGAAAGCACAGAATGTGTTTAGGGTATAATCAAGTGTGCAGATGGACTGGAACTGGGGGCACAGCATCACCCCCACAACAGCCGCTGAGTACTTGCGGGAAGCAAATAGGACAGCTGGAGCCTGCTTGAGGCTGGGATGGGCAGGCCTGGGGTGGGAGTGCTGCCAGGCCGTCATCCGGGCACTCTGCCTCAACCTCGGTGGGGAGGGTGGGGGACGCCAGGGCTGCTGAGGCCACCCAGGGTGGGTCAGGTAATGGGGCCCCTGCAACTTTTCATTCAGAAAAGTCACATGATCAGAGCTGGGCTTCAGAAAGAGCAGAAAGAGAGCAAATGGGTTAACGGGGACCCAAAACAGCATGGTGGCGACTGGTATGGAATGAGCCCGAGTAGAAAAGACCCAGAACCATGGCAGCCTACCTGGGCCTATCTGGCGAACTCTCCCACCCCCCGGACTTGTGTAATGAAATACAAAATGATCTACAAAACGCGAAAGCAAAACATCTGACTACATAATTGTTCTTCAAAAAAACCGTCTAATTTAAAATATGAAAATTCAACTCCATATTCTGCTTTCATTCCTTGACAGCAGGATGGTGCAGGAGTCATGGACACAGCAAGAGTGCTCCTACTGACTCCCAGAGCTCACTTCAGGCCATCAGCCCCCAGGCAGGAGGGCGGCATATTTTAGCACCCAAATGCCCAGTGGAAGCCCAGTGGAAAGCCTGGACCTGGAAGGCTTTCACCAGTGGGCAGCCATGGTGCTCTGGCGCCCTCAAGTGGCCACTAAGAGGTGGCAGCAGCGACAGGCTCCTGCTTCACAAACCACACAACGGGACTCTGCCAAGCAATCCCTACATTGAGAGCAGGGATCTGATGCGGGATAGTCAGAAAAGAGCATGGTCTCTGCCACAGACACGAGGTAAATACCTATAAAATAGTTTAAGTAAAAATCATTCCCCTCACCTTGAGCCCTCATATCTCCCGTTCCTCTCATATTCAGTTGGAAGCCTCAACGAACAGAATGCAGAAGCACAGAGAAATGGGAAAGAGAAAAGAAATCTTACAGACCGATACACGACCACCCACATACAAACACAGACGTCATAATATGAACAAATCCAAAGCACTTGGGGTCACCAGCCAACTCTTGTTTAGCTCGTAGTCTCCCAGGGGTGACCGGCCCAGGCCGCTGTTCTCTGTGCGAGCTGGCAGGCAGGCTGGGAGGCCGACCGCGCACTGGGCATCTCTGCCTGGCTCTGGAATTGGAGGTCTGCTGACTTTTTAATACCTCCCCCAAAGTGTAATGGTTTTTAACTAAAAGGAAATGAATTCTATCAGTTAAATCCTACATTCAACTACAAAATTTTCTGCCCGAGGAAAAATTTGCTGGGAAGATTAAAATCATGGAGTGGAATTTCCCACAGGAGGAAAGCACTCTTCCCAGTTTTTGATAAAGAGCTCACGTTCACACAGCCTTTCAGTGACCCACTGATTTCATCAACATAGAAAAAAATCCATAGCCTGGCTTTCTGGACACATGGAGGCCAAATGGCAGATTTTCTACCTCATTATGTGTGTGTTGTTAGTCTCCTGATTCGTTATCATCAAAACATATTCACCTGGTAGGAATATGATTTCTTACAGTGCTTTAAGTAAAAGTAATGAGACACACTTTCTTCAGTGGTTGGTGGAAAGTGGCTTTTAGAATACTACTCTCCAACTCTCTGAAAATATTAAAGCATTTCTGCTCTACAGCTGCCCACATCTTAGTTTCCAAAAACCTCAAACTAAATGAGGCTGTAGGTCTGAATTTTATGCTTGTTTCCCCCATAAAAATATTAGCTAATTTCCCGGTCATTTTAAAGCCTTCTGCAGATTCAATCCTTCATGAAATAAAAAATGGCAACAGTTACCACTTACCTTCTGCACGCCCGAGGCCAACCATTAATTGTACATTAATATTACTGAACATTGCATTCTTCAAACAGAAGCATGCTAAGTGTTATTAGTATGAAGACAGAATTATTTGGATGCTAAATAATTCTACCAAAGAAAGACAATGCACAGAGCATGCACAGGCCTGTTGTTATGTGGGCGCCTGACAGAGTCAATCTACTTCTTTCCGAGGCTCCTTGCAAAGAAGTAAGTACGTAGTTCTCAGCAGAAAGTTTAGTTTTTAAGAAACAAAACAAAACAAAACAAAACAAAACAAAACAAAACAAAAACAAGGCTAGAAAGCCAAACCTGATGTTAATTGCAGGAGCCATTTTGGGGTAAGGATTGAAAAATAATGTGTATATATAAATCCTACCTTTTGATAAACCTGAATGACATGTTTCTAAAAGAAATTAAGCCAAAAACAAAATTAACAAAAAGGACTTGCACAAATGAAATAGAAAATCTAGTCAATTATAGAGAGAAAGAAAAACAACAAAACAGGGCTCCTCTTCTGTCCAATGAACGATGAAACAGTGACATTTGTTGAAAAAGTAAAATTACAGGTAATCGAGTACATGATCTTTTAATTTTCTAGAAATATAAAAAAATCTGTCCTTGTAAGAAAAAATTTAGCAGTAAATATTGACATTAGCTGTAATTAAATTTAAAGGTTCTTCAGATGGATAGACTTTAAGCTCATAAAATCCAACATTCCATGTTAAAGAAATGACTTAAGTCATGTGCAATATACTATAGTAATAAAGTAACATTTCTTGATTCTCTTCAGAATATTCTATGAACAAAAATCTCACCTTCTATACAACATTAAAAAGTTCATCTTAAAATGTTCAACCATTAAGAGAACCATTACTTATTTCAGGAAGACGATTTAAACATTAACAGAATGTCTGTTACAGTGGTATCACATAAATCACTTCTTAATAAAACAGTAAGTTACTGCGGTTTAAAATGAAGTGGACTTTTCAGAGTTTTAGACAGCAAAATGAATGGAAACAAAATGGTAACAATGGGGGTTTCATGTTTATGTTCTGTGTAATAAAATGAAATAACTGTATTTAGAAGTAACTTTGCTCATTAAAACTTAAGGAGATGCTGAGGTTGTACTGAACAGAATCTGACAAAAGAAATTCCAAACTACCCATCAGGCTTGTACGATCATGTGGTCAGCATTCCTGGGCGAGCGCAGGCTGGCCTTGTCAAACCATTTCTGAAACTTCCCAGTTCTGTGACTGAACACAGAATTCAGTCTGAGTGAATGAAGTAACGAATTCCGTGGGTCGGTTTTTCTAATACTGGTAACTTTGACATCGCTTCAGATGCTGCCCAATTAAAAAACAGCTAACGACTGTAGGTAACAGCCAACCACTTCATAATCAGATCAGAAGTGGTCCACAGAGGGGTTATATGCAGCAGAGAAGATCATGCATGTGACAGGATTTTGTAAATAATTAAGCACTACATAATAAGGCAGGATTATTCAAAAGATTATTTTAGTTGAAAATTGATTAAAAGGCCTTTCGGTATTTTCACTTCCCAATTTTCTGCCTGAGAAAGGTCAGGGTTATTGGTCAAGCACCCAACTGCTTTTCCTCGTTTTTTCAGCCACGAATCCCTGAGGTATAAAGAGGAGGAGCAGCGGGACTGAGACTCTCTACTCCTGCCAGGCCCCGCGGACCAGCGCAAGGCACACAGAGGCACCTACCTCATGCCTGGGCTGTTCTGCCTATAGGGTAGGAGTGACCCTGAGAACCCTAAGCAGGCCAGGCGTGGCCCCAGGAGAGAGAAGCCTTGCTCCTTCTGACTACAAATGGCTTCCGAGGTTGGAGAGCACACAGCTCTCCAAAGCCACACGTACCCAGGGCAGAGTCAGAGCCAAGAGAACACAGGCTTCCTGGCGGCGGATCTCCTCCCACCAGATCTGAGCAGGTCTCCGACGCAGCACCTGAGTGAGAACACCTGAGCCTCTTTTGGGCACCAGGACTCTGATCTTAGCATTTATTGTCAGGGCAGGATAAGCAGCCGACGCTGACAGCAGCAGCAAGAAGAAACGGACCACCACCAAAGTACAGTAACCAGGGAAGACTACAGACCTCAGTTTGCAAACTTTAACAAACAGAAGACTACCTTCCTGTAAATCTTTAGGGGTGGAAATCGCCTGAAAATGTAAAGTAAGATGACCCCTGAGACTTTTTTTTTTAATTAAACCAAGAAATCTGTCTCCAATTGTAATTGAAATGCATGAAATACACTAAATTAGAGAATGAGGGACAAGGATTCCAGCCTACACTATCCTTGACCGTTCTGCTCTGCAGGGCGGCACACGCAGCGTGCCCTGGAGGGCCTCTTCTGGAGGCACCTTTCTGGCTCAGCATTTTTTGGCTGTAGAATCTTCAACATGTGCCTTAAACTCTCTGAATCTCATTTCCAGCTTGTTCTACACAACAGTAAGAGTATCTACTACACAAGGTGGACGGTGGAGATTACGTGAGTATGTGAGAACGTGTTTGTACGTATGTGACACGTGCATGTTTATCAATGAGAAACAAGTATAGCTCTATACATCTAAGGACGCTTATCTACCTCAACTTGGCACACAGGAAAAATACACCACAGAGGCAACAATCAGGGGTGCCCAGCTGGCTCAGTAGGAAGAGCACGTGACTGCTGATCTTGGGGTTGTTGAGTTTGAGCCCCACATTGGCGGTAGAGATTACTTACAAATAAAATCTTTTTTTTTTTTTTTTGATGTTTATTTTTGAAGGAGAGAGAGACAGAGAGAGAGAGAGAGAGAGAGAGAGAGAGACAGTGTCAGCAGGGAGGGGCAGAGAGAGAGAGGGAGACACAAAATCCGAAGCAGGCTCCAGGCTCCGAGCTGTCAGTACAGAGACTGATGAACCCAAGAACTGTGAGATCATGACCTGAGCCAAAGTCAGACACTTAACTGACTGAGCCACTCAGGTGCCCCAAGATATTTTTTTTAAGTTTATTTATGTATTTATTTTGAGAGAGAGAGAGCGAGCATGAGAGGGGAGGGGCCGAGAGAGAGGGGGACAGAGAATACCAAGCAGGCTCCATGCTGTCAGCACAGAGCCTGATGCGGGGCTTGAACTCACAAACCATGAGATCGTGACCTGAGGTGAGATCAAGAGTTGGATGCTTAACTGACTGAGCCACCCAGGTGCCCCGCCATCCCCCAGATTTTATTTCTAAGTAATTCCTTCACCTAACGTGGGGCTTGAACTCACATCCCCAAGATCAAGAGTCTCGTGCTCTACTGGAGTGCCTGTGTGGCTCAGTCGGTTAAGTGTCCGACTTCAACTCAGGTCACGATCTCACAGTCTGTGAATTCGAGCCCCACGTCGGGCTCTGGGCTGACGGCTCAGAGCCTGGAGCCTGCTTCAGATTCTGTGTCTCCCTCTCTCTCTACTCCTCCCCTGTTCATGCTCTGTCTCTGTCTCAAAAATAAATAAAGGTTAAAAAAAAATTTAGAGTCTCGTGCTCTACTGCCTGAGCCAGCCAGGAGCCCCTGACATATGACGTTTTACCTAAAGAGCCCATCATAGACCAAAGTGTAAAGACACAGAACTAGCTGACCTGTAACTAGATCTCAGACAGACCTGACTGATGCATATCCCCTCTGCACTCAGGGCTCTTACAGGGCAAAATACCCGTCGACATGAGGCTCAGTCGGGAAGGCAAACAGCCAGGTGAATGATACCAGGCTCCGTCTCCTACCACCCAAGTTTTGGAAACAGATTCCATTTCAGCCTAGTCCATAATGAAGCAACTAGGGGACAGGGAGGCCTGGGACAGGCCATGGGATGATCCTAAAAACAAGGAATGAATTATTCTGGGGTCAGCAGACTCTTCCTGGATTGAGCTCCCTGCTTCTTTTACTGGTCACGAGTGGGTGCCCCAAACTTGGCAAAGTCCTTTAGACCACTCTGACCAGTTTGGAAAAGGGGGTCTCAGCAAAGGAGCCGAGAAGAGAACAAGAGGCCGCTGTAACTTCTGGCACCTATCTGGCCTCCAGCCGATGATAAGAGACAGCAGAAGTCCTCCTTACTTGGTAGCCATGTCCTGACAATAAGCAGAGTACCCGGAGAAAGAATAAAAATACTAAAAGAACATAAAAATACTGGACGAATTAAGGAGACTGAAAATGCGGTATTTGGCTTACAGGTTAAATTCCAAAAATGGAAGGAAACACAGCAGGCAGCTGGTGAGCCACAGGGGGCGCCAGCTAGTTCAGGCTTGGAGAAGACCCCACTGTTGTTCTGAGTAAAATACAGATGAAAAGAGGGTCTGCAGCGGGCAAAGCGGCAGGATGCCTTGGACGTCCTAATCCTCGGTGAAGCTCAGTGTCGAAGAAATCTCTCCTGGGAGTCCTGAAAGTGCAGGGGCCCTCAGTCTCCTGAGTGTGGGCCCAGCTGGCGGTGCCTCGGCCTATGTGTTTATGGTGCAAAGGGGCACTTCCTCCTCTCATAGCCATCAGTGATTCTAGGCCTTTGCAACCTCAAGATGAGGTTATGGAAATAAAGTTCAAAATACCTCAAGGGAAAAAGTATCACATGAAGGATTTTATACACAAGCAGATTTACTATATCTTGGTGAGAATAAATCAGGAATTTTATCCGCCAAACTGTACCGTTTAAGCAAGTTACTTTGTTCTTACTATAACTTACTGAGACCAAGAGAGAACAGTTTTTAAGATTTAGACCCTAAGAAACTTAGTGCTCCTCAGAGATGCTGGCACGACATGAGAGAAGAGAGGTCTCTCTCCTCTGCATCCAGGCTGGCCGCACCGCACACTGTCTTCCTCGGGGACGGCTTCCGAAGTGCCAGCTTGCACTAAGCTGCAGTAACCATGCATGTGGGCAGATGTGTGATCAAAAGAACAGTAATTAAAGAGAACGACAACCTCCCAAGTGCTAGAGGGACTTCTGATGTCGGGAAGACTCTGAGCTCTGTAATTCCTATTCTAAAAGGTTTTAAAGTACAAAGTTCTATATATAAACCAGAAAAACACGAGCTAAAGACAAAGTGGAAAGTATCTGGGCAGCCGTGTCACACGACAGAGAAGACGTTTCTCCTTTTGCTCTTACATTGGCTGCAAACAACCAGCACCACCTGGCACTTACCTCCTTGTGAGTTTTGAAGTTAATTTACTAAAAAGATTAGTGGAGCCTCGGCTTCGAGTCTGCGACAGTGGTGTGGCTTCGTGGGACAGGCTGGGCGAGGCAGGTGGGCCGTTATACGTGGCGGTCCGCCGCTCCCGGGGCTGCCCGTGGAAAGTGCTGCGGCTGGCGGTGCCCCTCGGGAAGCGGAGCCGGTCTGGGGTAGCTGTGCTGCTGACACTGTGCGTTGAAGCAACAGGAGTCCTCGGATCAGGAATAGTGCTAGTAGGGCAGAACAGAACAGACTCACTCTCACTGTCACGTGGTTGGCAAAAGCCCAGCTGTGTGGCAAACATGGCGCACGACAATCCACGATCCCAAAAGACACCTTTTATCCTCAGTGGACAAAATCAGTTCTAATAAATCTAGACCCAAGGCAGTATTTTATAGAACTCAGGACCAAAAGGCAAGTTAAATAGGAAAGGGTATCAAATAGATGGTATATAATGAGACAGAGCCTCGTGGGGTTTAAGGGAATAGGTCGTACATATTTTCAAGGACAAGATTAATGCAGGGAAATTCTAGGACACAGAATGGCTAACTCAAGCTTTTTCCCTTTGCTTCCCTCCTCAAAGTGCTTATGTGCGAGAACCCTGCCCCTGTGAAAAAAAGAAACATGAAATGAACAGGCAACTAAAAAGTTTTAGAGACATACAAATGGCATGTTTCCTGTGAAATTCCACATGCTAAGAGCACTGTGAAGAGGAGGGGGATTTCTCACGCCTTCTGTAGTATGCAAAGGCACAGACGACCAAGGACACCGTGAGACAGGATGTGCTTAACTAAAACCACACACAGGAAGAACACCTGTGGACAACAGATAGTAACACATCGCGGACTATAAAATCCACAGCACAGAATGAAGCAGCGGTGGGTACACGTTAGTTTCACAAGGAATGTGCACTTTTCTTACACAGCCTCACATTTCCCTCCTTCACTGTCTATTGGAGGTACCATCATCGGAGGGGTGCCCATAGGCTGGCATGGACATCGACCTGATGTCTCACCCACTGAGGCAGGGCTAGCTGCAGAAGCGAACACTCCTGTCAGGCTGGGAGGGGGGTTGGGATCAGGCAGAGGCAGAAACAACAATATGATGGCACAGTGACAGAAAAAGGTATCTGCTATTTAAAGCACACACCTTCCTCTTAACCTTGTTTTGGGGATTCTGTAGCAATTACTGACCTGTAGCTGCCTTTCCCCACCCCACCCCCCCACCCCCGCGCAAATAAAGTAAAAGATTTATTAGCCTTTTAAAAAAGTGTTTATTTTTGAGAGAGAGAGAGAGAGAGAGAGAGAGAGAGAGGCAGAGAGAAGGAGACACAGAATCCGAAGCAGGCTCCAGGCTCTGAGCTATCAGCACACAGCCCGATGTGGGGCTCAAACTCACAAATTGTGAGATCATGACCTGAGCTGAAGTCTGACACTTAACTGACTGAGCCACACATGCGCCCCAAGCTATATTAGCTTTAAAGGGGGGCGGGGGGGATGACATCTTACTTGTTTGAATATTTAGGTGAGGGGGCAATGTTTTCTGAGCTGTGTACAAAATAAAGCCTTTCCTAAAAGAGATGTCTCCATTCAAACTGAACTGGTTGAGTGAATCTATAATATGAGCACACCTTGCTTTCGGCCTGTTCTCCAAACACACAGACATATTTTAAATGGACTGGTAAGATGACACATATAGTAATTAGTTGCTATTTATCAAAGTGTCCTATGCTGTTTCAAGATAGATGAGAATCTTCCTACGCAAAGGACATTCACTTCTTTATAAACAACAGTCAAAACTCTTAAGGGGTCAACAGAACCCCTTTTTTCAAGGCAGGAAAACTATTAAGAGTAAATTAACTGTTTGCAGACAGAGAAAAAGAATGATGGACATGGCTGGATGCCTGCAGCTTCCCCCCGGGCACAGAGAGACGAGCCGCGCCCTGGCCACTCTGCTTTAATTCCAGCTCAAGTCATCTTGCCCTTGGAGCTCCGAAGAGGCAGTTTCTCTCCTTGGAGGAGAGCCGGGGACTCAGGACTCAGATCCCGTGTGTCAGTCTGCATATACGCCCCCACCTCTACCCCAGGGTCTCGGCACCTCTCCCCTTCTCTCCCACACGGACCTATACCTCAGTGCCTGTCTTGGCTACACACTTCCCAACCTGTCCAACATATAGCCATGAACGTCCCAAAATGCAAACCTGACCTTGTCACTCATCAACTTAACAGCCTTTCAAAAGCATGCTGCATCTTCAGGACAGACTTCAAATTCCTCACCCTGGCATCCCGGTCACACCCTCAGGTACCCACAGCCCAGCGGCGCCAAGCTGTATCTCCAGGTTCTACCTTCTACTGTCACCTCTGGGACTTGACTTTCTGGAGCTCCTAATGATGTGCAATCCCTTGGTCATGCATCGGGTCAAATAACTTTCACAGGAACTATTCTCTGTGCCTGGAGTGCAGGCACCTATTTTCATCAAAATTCAACCCAGAGGTCACCCTCTCCATGAAGTCATCTCCATGAAGTCATCCTCTCCCATCAGGAGTTTATCATTCCCATTTTGTACTGAGTATGTGCCCCTGCCACCCTGGGCTACCCCAGTGACCTTTCCCTGATAGAGTGTCCTGGAAGCATGGTGCTCAATGAATGCTCTCCTGAGAAGTTAACGAACTGGAGTTCTTACAGTCCTGACATTGGGGGGAGGATGGGCACTTTATAATAAATTGCTCAAGATTTGTGTGTCCCTGCATTTCTGTTTGAGAATTCTGTCTTCTGACTTGGGAGAATGGCTCTAATATAGTCCAAGAACTGAAAATGAGTACCTTATAAAGATAAAAAGAGATTCAGTTTTGTGTTTTTGCCACTCAGCACCTACTTTTTATCCTGTGGCAACGACACTTGAATTCTGCTATTAGGGAAGCAAGTTCCTAGGCTCTGGATGTCAATGGCTCCACCCCAGGGTTTCCCAGCCACCCTGGTCAGTGACAGACTTAGAGACAGGCACATGGCCAAAGCCAGACCAACACAGACCCAGAGACAGCTGCAGGGCTTCTGTCTGAGCAGAGCTGAGTGTGGGAAGATGCCAAGTCTGATGCTGTGAGCCCAACAGGGGAACCACCACAGAGGAAGCAGAAGTAGGAGATGGACCCTGACTCTATTCCTAGACATTTTTAGTTCTAGGAAATCAAATATGCCCTTTTGAATTTAAGCTTGTTTGGACTGGGTTCCTGTGATGCTGCACAGAGTCCTAAATGATTCAACTCTTTTTTTTTTTTTTTTAATATTTATTTTTTGGAGAGTACAAGTGGGGGAGGGGGCAGAAAGGGGACAGAAGAATATGAAGCGGGCTCTGCACTGATGGGCTGACAGCAACGAGCCCCATGTGGGGCCTGAACTCACAAACTGCGAGACCATGATCTGAGCTGAAGTCGGACGCTCAACCGACTGAGCCACCCAGCTGTCCCTTCAACTCTGTTTAAAGACTAGTCAAGTGCAGTAGTGAGAAGTAAGGAGAAAGAGTAGAACAAGGAATGATTCAACTATCTGAAGAAAGGCTTGCTAGTTTCTTATACATAGACATACAAACATATATGCAAATACATACTTTATTTTTTAAGAAGTTACATTACAGCTAATATGACTGTCTTTTGTGCTCTATTACCTGCTTAGGGCAGGTCAAGGGTCAATATGCTTGATGCCTCTGACCAGCTGCTGACATTCTCTTGCCCACATGAGAAGCTGGGATCAACGGGTGCATTAAAAGCAAGGGAAGAAGGGAAGACAGGGTTATCTGTTTCCTTCCCTGGAGAATACAAAAGATCCCAAAGACTCAGAAGAAGGCAAGGGCTTTTCGTCAGCATATAGAGCAGAAGACGCTTGATCTACTCCTCCTGAGACACGCTGCTTGTAGGCTGCCCAGCACAGGCAAGATCCACAGGGCACAGAAGCATAGCAAGACCGGACAGATACTTCAAAGAAACTGACCCTTCTCAGAGACCTTCCTAAAAAGGAAGTGTAAATTGATATTTTCATTATAAATTATTAAGTTTTTTGACACAATAATCCTAAGCGCAATTAAATGAATTATTTTAGAAACTTAATCCTAACTGCTTTGTATTTATGTCTGACTATCTTTTTTCTAAAATTCTAATCCACTTACGGTGACTAAAGGACAGGTATTTTCTACTTCTTCAAATGTTTATTTATTTTGAGAGAGAGGGAAAACACACACATACAAGCAGGGGAAAGACAAGAGAGAGAGAATCCCAAGCAGGCTCTGTGCTGTCAGCGTGGAGCCCAACATGGGGCTCGACCCCACGAATTTTGAGATCATGACTTGAGCCGAGACCAAGAGCTGGATGCTTAACCAACCGAGCCACCCAGGCTCCCCAAGGACAGGTATTTTCAATTTGACAGGACATCTCTCCCACAGCAGAACATTCTGACATGAAATGTTCTGGGGTGCTGATTCAAACTATACTCAGTGACTGGGAAAAAGCAAAATTAAAAGTAAAGATACATGTGTGAACTGTGATCACACTTTCTCTGCTCAATCCCTGTGCCTTGATGCATGACAAATGGATAAAATAATAGAGCCATTTTACACTTATAAAATCTTATCTAGAATATCAAATGCCTAAAATTTATTTGAAAAGATTCTGTTGGGGCGCCTGGGTAGCTCAGTCAGTTGAGTGTCTGATTTCAGCCCAGGTCATGATCTCATGGTTTATGAGTCTGAGCCCCAACGTCGGGTTCTGTGCTGTGCCGGTAGGGTGGAGTCTGCTTGGGATTCTCTCTTTCTCTCTGCCCCTCCCCAACTTGCATGCTCTCTAAAAATAAATAAACTTAAAAAAAGATTCTGTTCTGTTGTGCTTTATTATAACCATATCACACTCCTTCTTCGGGGGTATTCAAATGAATACATTTGCAACAGTCTTTTTTTTTAAACAGTCTTCTGTAACTATCTAGAAACATATGAAAAAGCAGGGCAGAGTCCATGTTATTTGTGTCGGTTAGCAAAATTATTAAGTCAAAAAGTGAGTGTAAACTCAGAAAATTTTTACATTCCCATCAGAATGGTTTATTACCAGTACTTCGATAAGCTAGTTTTTTGCTAAGCATTATGTGTCAGTGCCTGTGCTCAGTGGTTTAAGACTCATTATAAAAACCTACGTGATTCTGACAGAATCTTACAACTGAAGGTGTAATTACACTTTCTCATGCCTACTTTGTACTGACTGTTAGTCAATTTGAAATTGGGCCATCTTCAGAGTCTGCCATCAAAAGAAGGTAGAATAATTATACCAGAACATGTAGCAGAAAATAAGCTGGACTTCAGCATGCCTGGTGTCAAAACAACAGTCTTCCTTAGAAAACCACTCACATGTGCTCAAGCCAAAGCAACAGTTTGCCAAAACTTGTAACTTCTGTCCCTTAAACAACACTGATTAGCATTATTTTTCATACAGCGAGGCTGATAAACAGCACTAGTAAGAATCAACGCATAAAATTAATTTTAAAATGAAAAAAATGATCACATGGCCGGTGGCGAGGCTTGAAAACCTCATCTCGTGCTCACTGCTCACAGCAGGATTCTGAAGACAGCTGAAAACCAGCTTGTTTGGGGCACGTACAGCCTTTGGTTGTAAACATGCATAGTTTTCACTAGCATGATCATGCTCATACTGGAAACGAATGTCCTTTCAGAAGTTAACATGGACCCCGGCATCTGCAGCTCACCAGTATTTAAAGAGTAAGAGATCCATATGAGAGAGAAGAAAGCAGTAATTTCCCTAAGAAGTCATCTGTGCACAGAGAAGGTCCAGTGCATCGAATTTATCTTTCAGCATCTATTTCACAGGTGAAAAAAGTCACATTTCGTGCTCTGAGAGTAAAAAATATGACTACTTTGGCATTCACGCCCTCCAATAATTTTCCACAGTTCTTCCATTAACTTGTATGATAGAAAAAGAAAATCTAGAGATTATAAAAATTAAGGGCCCAATCTTGTGTGGTTTGGCACTGAGGCTCTGTTTGGCTAAAGATAGAAACAACATTTTCAAAAGCAAAGCGTTTAAGTGACTGAAGCTAATGAAAGCGGTGAGGCCTAGGTTGGGATAAGGAGGAGTCAGCTCAATAGGGAAGGTGTGGGCAGGGAGGACACAAGGGTAATGACTCCAAAAAAATCAGAGAATTCTTCAAACTCTTTCCAAAGAGTGAATTGGGTAACTGCAGGAAGGAAGGGTTAGAAGAGCATGTGCACACACACAAACACAAGCCGGGTAGCAGAGAGTAGATCTTCATCCTTAACGGCCTTTTTAAAAAGTTTGACCCTGAGGGGCACCTGGGGGCTCGGTCAGTTAAGCGACAGACTTCAGCTCAGGTCATGATCTCACGGTTTGTGGGTTCGAGCCCCATGTCAGGCTCTGTGCTGCCAGCTCAGAGACTGCAGCCTGCTCCAGATTCTGTGTCTCCCTCTCTCTCTGTCCCTTCCTTGTTTGCACTCTCTCTTTCTCTCTCTCAAAAATAAACATTAAAAAAAAAAAAAAAAGTCTGACCCTGAACTTCAGAGAATTGTACTTTCAAAAAAAAATTTTTTTTAACCTTTATTTATTTTTGAGAGACAGAGAGAGAGGAAGCGTGAGCAGGAAAGGGGCAGAGACAGAGGGAGACACAGAATCCGGAGCAGGCTCCAGGCTCTGAGCTGTCAGCACAGAGCCCAACGCGGGGCTCAAACCCATGAGCTGTGAGATCATGACCTGAGCCAAAGTCAGACCCTAAACCAACTGAGCCACCCAGGCGCCCTGAGAATTGTACTTTCAAAGTTCAAAAGGCATCTGACAGAAGAGCTGAACAACTTAGAAGAATTTCCAAAAGAAAGAAGAATCATGAAGCAACATTTATATTAGAAACTCCGAATTAAGTCTCCTACTGATATCCTCTTGAACTAGATGAAATCTGGTAGACTTGAGAATGTAACTAATAAAAGAAACTTTACTAGAGAATAAACTATACTATTAGAAAATAAATATACCAATCATATTTGTAAGCTATCTAGCACAGCTACTATAATATACTCAAGTTATTAACAGATTTTAATCAGAAAGAAAAGGTGTTAAAACAAGTACACAAATAGGAATCAGACAAGAGAGCACTAGAATGTAAATATTTCTAAAAATACTCTGAAAAATCAACATAATCTTCCACAATAAGCTTTTACCTTCATGTCAAATTCAGAGTTCAGTGGTGTATGGAAGAGAGAAGTTATAAACAGTCTGGTTTTAAGGATGAAAGAGGAAAGAAGAATTTTTGTTCAGGCTGTCACAGAAGTTAGTGATCAAACATTTGACTAGTGAGATCTAAACGGAACAGAAACCATACAATGCAGTATCAGAGAGTAAATGTCAGAAAAAAAGAAACCATTTTGATGCCACACATGGGACAAGTGACGAGACCAGACAATGTTCAAGTTAGGGGGCCAAGGGACAATTAAAGATGGCAGGAATGGGGCGCCTGGGTGGCGCAGTCGGTTAAGCGTCCGACTTCAGCCAGGTCACGATCTCGCGGTCCGTGGGTTCGAGCCCCGCGTCAGGCTCTGGGCTGATGGCTCAGAGCCTGGAGCCTGTTTCCGATTCTGTGTCTCCCTCTCTCTCTGCCCCTCGCCCGTTCATGCTCTGTCTCTCTCTGTCCCAAAAATAAATAAAAGTTGAAAAAAAAAATTTAAAGATGGCAGGAATTACTTTATGGATTTCTACCACAGAACTTTAACTGGTTGCTGTAGCTTTATCTCACCCTTTGAATTTAATTTATACACTATTCTTACCAAAAGGAAGAAGGAAAATCCATGCCTGCCTGAGAAATTTGTCCATACAGAATACATTTACTCCACCAATCTCAACTTCTCTTTTTTCTCTCCCCACAAACTATGGTCTTTGGACCTACTTAATCCCACTCAGCTTTTTTCTTTTTAAAATTTTTATTATTTTTTTAGTAAACATTTTTTTTTTTTTTTACACATATATATTTATTTTGAGAGAGAGAGTAAGAGAGAGAGTGCACGCCTGCATGCGGGAGAGGGGCAGAAAGGGAGGGAGAGAGAATTCCAAGCAGGCTCCACACTGTCAGCGTAGAGCTCGTAAACAGTGAGATCATGACCTGAGCCAGAATCAAGAGCCAGACGCTTAACTGACTGAGTCACCCAGGTGCCCCAAGACTTTTTTATTATTTTTAGGTAATCTCTATGCCCAACATGGGGCTTGAATTTACAACCTTGAGATCAAGAGTCACATGCTCCACTAAATGGCCAGCCAGGTGCCCCCACCCCCCCACCTTATTTCTTATTTGGTAACCCTAACAAAGTCGTTTGCATGATATAATTCTCTCCTTCTTGACATGTTACTTTATTTGTATTTTAAACTGTACTTACCCTATGTGTGCCTGCTTCCCTGCCAGATTAAAGAGAAAATCATCCAGAAGACTACTCTCTGCATCTTCCTGGGGTTCTCAAGTGTGTCCAAGGTGGAGACTGTGTTACTGCTTGTCCCCTTGGCTCCTCTGGCAGACTGCTGGCCTGTTACTGAGGCTCACGCACCCTACCTCCCACTGTCCTCTAGAGGCACGGCCCCCTGCACCTCAGGTCCTTATCCCTCCCTGCTCTACCCTTTGTTCAAGTTATTACTGTACACAGCATAATACACATTTCCCTATTTGCTATTCTGGAATGACACCACCGCTTCAGATCTGTGTCCTGTGGGAAAGCTCTCTGGTTTAACCCAACCCTTTCAACCATCACACGCAACCTGCCAGGAGGACAGGCTCTGGACAGTAAGAGGAATTTGGAAGTCTAGTATCTCACTAAAAAATCTGCACTTAAATTTAACTTACCGTGAAGAACACTTCACGATTATCATCTGAATTTTGATTCTAAAAACTAAGAAGTAACTTCCATTTCTTTTGCGAAAAACAAATTTTCTTGCAAACAGGTAAAATTTCGTACCTTTCTTTCCCATTCTGAATTACTGAATGTCTGTCGGCTGTAGTTCTTTCACTGCAGACGTAAGTATTGCGCCGTGTCATTCCACCAGCTGCTGTATTACTCTATAAAAAAGGGGGGCCCACTTTTGTCTTAAACCATTTAGAAATAAGTATAGTACAATGAGAAAAAAATTCTTACCTAAATACACACAATTTAATCCTTATTTTTAAATTTATTTGTAATGCTTATTTATTTTTGAGAAAGAGCACATGTGTGCACATGAATGGGGGAGGGGCAGGGAGAGAGGGAGACACAGAATCCGGAGCAGGCTCCAGGCTTCGAGCTGTCAGCACAGAGCCTGACACGGGGCTTGAACCCAGGGACCATGAGATCATGACCTGAGCCGAAGTTTGGACACTTAACTGACAGAGCCACCTAGGTGCCACTGGAGACTGAATTTAAATTGTAGGGCTATGACATGACAAACCAATTTTATGGAATTAGGAAGCCAATAAAAAACCTTTTACAGGATGCCTGGGCAGCTCAGTTAAGGAACCGACTCTGGATTTCGGCTCAGGTCATGATCTCACAGTTCATGAGTTCTGGCCCCACGGTGGGTTCCGCACCGACGGTGATTGTGGAGTCTGTTTGAGATTCTCTTTCTCCCTCTCTCTGCCCCTCCCCTGCTCACAGGCTCGCACGTGCTCTCTTGCTCTCTCTCAAAATAAACATTATTAAAAAACAAACAAAAACAAAAACAAAAAACCCTTTCACACAGGGTTTACTCTGATAGAACGCAAGGTCAGAGGATGGAGCAGACAAAACCCTTTGACCTCTGTCATGAGCTCCTATCCCCAGAACGGCACATACAAAAGCCTCCTAAAAGCAGCAGCAGAGCTTCCATGTGGGTCCCTCACTCTGGTTTTTTTTTTGTTTTTTTTTTTGTTTTTTTGAGGTAGAGGGAGGGCTGTGTCATTGTTAACTTTGCAGGAAAAAAAAAATGTGGTCACAGAATATCCCTCAGACTGTACATGCTCTGCAAATTCTTTCTAGAATTACTTCAGGAGTGCTAAGAATAAGAATTACTGTATTAGGTCAGAGAGAACACATTTCAATTCACAGAAAAGTTCCTGAAACTGAACAGACTTTAACAAATACTACCTATTTAAAGGGGAGATTTGTCAAGGATACGGATTAAGAGATGGACTCAGATCAGCAATATAATTTTAGGCAAAGACTAACTTTTCTTCATTTTTTCCACCTTAAAATTTAGCTGGTACATGCAAAAGCATTTGGCACAGTCCTTGGCACAAGGTAAGGACTTGGTCAAATGTTCTTTATTGTCAGAGCCCTTTGAGGATGCACGCCACATCCTTGGCCCCCACATCCCTGGCCCTCAGGCAATCAGATGTCCCAGAGTCCTGCACAGAACCCGTTAGGCATCTTCTGTCCGCGGTTTCTTGTCGGCACCGTCATCATTTGGTTTTATTTCCTCAGACTATGAGGCATTTCTATTTCTCAGGACCCAATACAAGCTAAAGTTCAGATGTTTGTGGAATAGCCAGAAACAGCCCTTGACACAAAAGGTCGGGTCACTAATCTAGTGGGATGGGGTGCAGCAGGAAACCCCTTCAACACAGGTATTGAAAGTGATCTCTACAGGTGGGAGACTGGGCATGGTGGCCTGGTGGGGACAGCACTGCAGGTAGCTGAGAACACAGGAGTCAAATGTCTAGACCACCCTAACCCTACAATCTCAGGAACGCTCTGCAGTTTAACAATACTTACACTAGGGACAGCAGAGCTTTTCTTGCGTTCAGGAATGTCAGCCTTATTGGGATTACTTGCACTCCCAAGCATGGGGCTGGCTGGAGCAGTTCCCTTTCCTCCGACAGCACTGCCGCTTGTTTTCCGGGAAGGAATTCCGTCTTCTTTGAGGTCACTATCTGCAGTGCTGGTCTGACTCCTTTTTGGATACGCCACAACCGAAGGAATAGCTGGTCCAGCTAAAATAAAACAGTTTACTTTTTACAACATTTATTTATTTTTGGGACAGAGAGAGACAGAGCATGAACGGGGGAGGGGCAGAGAGAGAGGGAGACACAGAATCGGAAACAGGCTCCAGGCTCCGAGCCATCAGCCCAGAGCCTGACGCGGGGCTCGAACTCACGGACCGTGAGATGGTGACCTGGCTGAAGTCGGACGCTTAACCGACTGCGCCACCCAGGCGCCCCAAACAGTTTACTTTTTAAAAGCCAGAATATAGTTTTATATTTTAGTCTGTGAAAACCAACGTATTTAATAAGATGACCCAAGACTGCTATCATCTAAGAAAATACAAGACAGTAAAATCCTGTAAGAGATTTCCCACCATGTATAATGTCCTTCCTTATACAATGAATTCAATTTTGAAATTTCACTTTTGTCCCTTTCTATTGAAAAATTAAAAAAAAATTATTAGTAAGTTTGTATAGTATTTGTGCTTCAGAAATACCTTCAGGGAGAGCTGTCCACTGAAACAATCTCTAGAGTGTTACTGTACAAATAACAAACAAACTAAGCGGGTGCATGTGTATCGTGGCAGCGTGAACTACTTCACCTGGTACATCTGAGAGAACCTTAGTTATCCTTTTTTGTACACGAGATGCGTTCACCCTTTGGAACAGAACAGTACAGACTTATGGGTCATTACTTCTGAAGTGTTATCCTGGATCTTTTGTAAAGCATTCGGAATCTTCTAGATAAACAGGAATTTGAGTAGACAGGGAAAGGTGACACAGGCAGAGGAAAGCATGTTCCTCATGCAAGCGACAGGGAGGAAAGGCGGCAGAGGTTCCCAATCACACCCCACCCCAGGAGGAGTGTGCCTAGGTACATCCTGGATGGGCAATTAACCGATATCCTACAAAATAGCATCAGGAGAGTCTGATGGCAGCACAGGAAATTTGGAGTTCAAAGCATTTTGGAGATGAACAAACTCATATATAACTCATATATTCATTATGTATACTGTCCAGTGGTCATCTTCAAGAATGGCACCAAATGCTCATCATTTATAGTAGAAGAGACTTTATATGTTAGGTGTACTAAAAAGGGGTTGGGGTGGGGTAGAAGAAAACTACTTTTTGGACAAAATCTAAATGGTAAATCTATTTGGAACTGAATTAAAAGTAAACAAAAGTTTGTTTTTATTTATGGGAGGAAAAAAACTAAGCTTCCAGTTTGGGAAATTTACCACATAAAACAAAGAATTAACCAAGCATGTGTGATACTACCCTTAACACTTATCTTTCTTTGCAAAATCATGAGGCAGCTAAGGACATCCTGCACTTTCAGGGTTACTGCTGATCTGCTCTGAAACTTGGCTCAGACCGCATGGTCTCACCAGAGCCACTTGCGTCCGGGGCAAGTTGAGCTCCAACGCACATTTACCACCTGGTTGGTAAATCCGGGCCAACACCAGTCACGCCAGAGTAGTCCTGTCCCGAGGACTGTGTGGACTGCCTTTGCCAGCACAGCCACCTCCTCCACCGTGGCCTCCAGCTCCCTAAACCCTGGTAATCACTGGTCTGGTCTCCATCCCTCATTCTCTCCTTTCCAGAATGTTACATGAATGGAATCAATTTCATAACACCTTTTGAGATTTTTTCTCCATTCCGTGTAGTTCCTTTGAGATCTATGCAAATGGTTGTACCTATCAATGCTTTGTTCCTTTTTATTGCTGAGTAGTGTTCCATGATGTGGCTGTCTCACAGAGAAATGTGATTTTTATGTAGTCAAACTTGGTAAACATGTCTTTTCTTTCATAACTATTAGTGTTGGGGTTTCGGTCAGAATGACCGTCACTAGTCCAAGTTACAACGCGAAAAGCAAATTATCTCGTGTTTTCTTTGACTATTTCCATGTTTTTCACATTTCCATCTTCATTCCAGGTGGAACCCACCCTTGTGTAAGATGTGACAAATGGATACAGATTTATTTTTTTCTGATCACTACCAAACTGCCCCAGTGCCCCAGGGTAATAAGCCAGTGATTCTTTACTTTTTTCCCCCTAAGACAAAGAACGCTTTGAAAATCGAACGAATATCACCTTTCCTAGAAAAATATGTGCACACATCCCAGGGGTTCACACCTGGGACCCAAATTAAGAACCACAGATAAAAGTTAAGTTATACTTTCATAGAACCAGGCCTATAGAAACAGCTGGCATCTGGAAGGAGGAAACAAGGGGAGAGGGAAGAGGAAGGACAAGCTGAAAGCGGGGTTAGCTGTAGGCTTGTCTGCCTTTCTCAGTACCAAGTGAGTGTGCTTTACTAGACATTGCATTTGGAATCTACCTCATTCTTAGCCCTTAAAACTACACAGCCAGAGGTATAACAAAATCTTTCCTTTGCTGACCACCATCTTCATCCCCATAAAGAATAAAAAACAACACAGAATTGGGTGACTTTCTATATATACTTGGATTTCTGGAAATATTCTTTTTATGAAAATTTTTTGGTACTATTTTTTTTTTTTTTTTTTTTAAGTAGGCTCTGTGCCCAACATGGGGCTCGAACTCACGATTCTGAGATTAAGAGCTGCGTGCTCCACTAATGGAGCCAGCGAGGTGGCTTTCATGAACTTTTTGCTATTAGAGGCTCCAAGAAGGAAGGATCGTTATCATCACACAAAGAGCACTCCCTGAGGCAATCAGTGGGTCAGTGGGCAGAGCAACGGGACCTGGCCCCTGAAGTCTGGGCATGCTGCCACAGGTACTCCCACATCCTTGTAACCCTGGGAGATGTGGTGGGCCCTCTTGATAAAATTGGAGGTTTGGTGAGTGTCTGACACCATGTCTAATGGTCTTCTTAGCTCTAAAATTTTCTGAACTGGGTGAGAAAGGCATTACCAATCCAAATGGAATATATATGCTTACAGAAGAATTAACTTATTAAGATCGTCACTAGAGACAGGAGAAAACTCTATTACCAGGTTTTTCCCCTCCAAGACTTTAGGAATAATTCCCTTTAAACTGGATGGTCCAGAGCAATCTGGAGGCATTTTGCTAAATGCCTTGTTGTCTAGAGGCAATGAAAATCCCTCCTTAACAACTAATCTGAACATGGACAGAAATAGAGACCCAGATCAACACTTGGTTTACAAATGCGATGTGCACAATACCTAGTGTCAGAATGGGTCCTCGGCTCTCAGTTACATCCTAGAATAGCAGACACGCTCACAGTTTACCGGCAGCTTCAGTACATGGTGCTGCACCAGCCCAGACCACACAGACAGGCAGCACATCAACAGGAAGAGAAACGGACACTGAGCAAAGTGTCATCGCTCCTGGTACAAAGCCAAAACTATCCACACGGGAATGTTCTGTGCCACCGTCAAGCGCCAAAACTCAAGGTGAAAGAATGAAAGCAGACAAAGTCCAGAGAAGGGAAATGAACTGAACAAAAAATAAATGGGTGTTCCGTGAGAGGATGTATTTTTATAATTTTTTTTTAATAATTTTTTTTTAACATTTATTTATTATCGAGAGACAGAGAGACACAGAGCATGAGCAGGGGAGGGGTAGAGACAGGGGGAGACACAGAATCTGAAACAGGCTCCGGGTTCTGAGCTGTCAGCACAAAGCCCAACGTGGGGCTCGAACTCACAAACTGTGAGATTATGACCTGAGGCGAAGTCAGTCACTTAACCAACTGAGCCACTCAGGCGTCCCGAGAGGATGTATTTTTATTTATTTTTTTAAATTTTATTTAAAAAAAAAAAAAAATTTTTTTTTTTTTTAACGTTTATTTATTTTTGACACAGGGAGAGACACAGCATGAACAGGGGAGGGTCAGAGAGAGGGAGGCACAGAATCTGAAGCAGGCTCCAGGCTCTGAGCTATCAGCACAGAGCCCGACGCGGGGCTAGAACCCACAGACCGCGAGATCATGACCTGAGCCGAAGTCGGCCGCTTAACCGACTGAGCCACCCAGGCTCCCCGAGGATGTATTTTTAAAAGTTAGGACCAGGCCAACTGGTCTAGGTTCCTGGATCTTAAAATGCTGGAATTAAAGAAATACCTGTAACATTAACATTCACAGGTTACAGGCGAATAAACACACATCCATGCTAGAGTGTCTGGATTCCAACACAGGGTTGCCTTGAAGGTAGAATAAATTGTTAAATTTGGTACCCAACATCTCTTAGGGTCCCGAGTCTCATGAAAAATTCACTTCCATGGTGAATATGTTAAGAGTGAGGGTGTTCAGACACACCAATGGCCATAGTGCACCTGACAATGACCCAGGTCAAAAATTTAAACCAAGTAAGGCAAAATTGGGGTACTATGCATTCTCTATGGCTGGCCACGTGTAGCTACATAAATTTAACTTAAAACTGAAAACCATTTCCCTGGTTCAAGTGCCCAACAGCCAAGTGTAGCTACTGGCTACTCTGTTGGACACCATCGATCCAGAACATTTTCATCACAGCAGAAAGTGCTGGACAATGACGCTCGGGAGAGTAAGTCTGATGCAGAGATGGGGAGGGGAGTGAACAGAGAACCAGAGACTGAAGCGAGAGTCCCAGAGGACTGAATGTACCAAGGAGATCAGAGCCTGGAGATGATCAGGCCAACACTGGCAGGACTGGTAGGAAATAAAAGTCCTGAAGGGAAATCAAGTCACTTTCCCACCCTGACAGGCCTTAAGCAAAAGGATGCTTCCCAATATTAGGAGGCCTCTTGTGTAAGGGGAGACTCAAGGAAAACACAGTGGAACAGTCTCAAACTTACCATGGTCACTGTATCGCCTCTGCTTCTGGCTGGAAGAAACACTTCTCTGCACCTTGTGGTGAGGAGACTGGCCAGTGCTGTTGTTGAGGTCACTGCTTGGCCTAACCTTAGCAAGTGAGAGATTGCTGCTAGAACTGGAGTCACTAGCATCCAGCTGAGAGAAAATGAGAAGAACAGAGCAAACCACAACACGGACCCAAATGGTACGTTAGGAAACTAAACTTCTCGTAACACATAAACCTCTCACAAACAGTTCATTCACAGATGAAGAAGCACCATGTACAAAAACGACAACCTTACATTTGGGCAGATGTATTTTTCTGACTGCTGAAAAGCTCATGAAAGGACAGGTATTTATGACCTTTTTAGGCTTTTTCAAATAACGTAAAACACTCTCTATTTACTTCACCTGATACTTTATATCACTTCCAAACCATTAATGACCACAGGCTAACTTATGATGTTCATGTCTGTGACAACATCCAATGTTACAGTTACCATCTCAAAGTTGAAACAGGAGCTCCTAAAGGTGATAGCAGTTAGGTTCATCCTTTGCAGGCCAATTTCAAAATTACATACCCAATGTTATACATGTTAACAAAATAAACACTAAGAAAAGAGCTTTTGAAACTGATCATTTACATAAAAGTTGTATTAGCTTTTTCCAATTACTCTTACCTCTGAAGATTTTCTTCCCAACAACAAATATGTAGCTGTGATTTCATCATATTTCATTTTACTAAGAGATTCTTGAATTTCTTCTTGTGAATATCCCATTCCCACCATAATATCTAAAAGAAGGGCATAATACAGTTGATGTGTTTTGTCTGGATATGAAATCACTGTGTTAGATATTAAAATAATTTCCTTTACTCGACTCTAAACATCATAGATTTTCTAATTTAAATGGGCGGTTGGTTTACTTCTGAGTAACTATAAGGGATAACACAGGAAACTACAGGTGGGTTCCTAATATGACAAAACAGATAAGCTGACTCATATAACTTATGTTTCGCTTCCCACCGTTCACATTTGAGGTGTATGCATACGAGTCAAAACAGAAATATGCCACTCACACACACAAGCATGGAGGCACAGAGTAATTACCTATTCTCTTCTGGTCTGAGATGTCCAGTTCTGGTTCAACAAATGGTTTAAGTTCATCTTCTTCGTGCCCTGCGTTGATCCACCTGTCCTTCATGATTTGCTGAAAGGTCAACTGTTCATTAGCAGCATAAAATAAAACATGCTAATAACCACAATATTTAGAAAAAATTATTTTCAACATTTCATGGATTACAGCTCAAAAGGTAACTTTAAAAAAATGTTTCTGGGTGCCTGAGTGGCTCAGCCAGTGAACGTCCGACTCTTGTTTTCAGCTCAGTTCATGATATCACAGTCTTGTGAGATCAAGGCTCACAACGGGCTCTGTGCTGACAGCATGGAGCCTGCTTGGGATTCTCTGCCCACCCCCCCTCCCCCAATCCCCTGCATGCTCACGTGTGTGTGGTCACTCTCTCACTCTCAAAATAAATAAATAAACATTAAACAAATGTTTTGGGGAACCTGGGTGACTCAGTCCAGTTGGGCGTCCAACTTCAGCTCAGATCTGATTCCACTGTTTGTGAGTTCGAGCCCCATGTTGGGGCTCTGTGCTGACAGCTCAGAGCCTGGAGCCTGCTTCAGATTCTGTGTCTCCCTCTCTCTCTGCCCCTCTCCCACTCTGTCTCTTTCTCTCAAAAATAAATAAACGTTAAAAAAAGCTAAAAAAAAAAAAAAAAAAAAAGTTTTAATGCCTCAATTCCTGCTTTAAAAGCCCCAGGGCAGTATTCTCATACAAACCAAGCAAAGTTCTACAAATACCTTAAAGACCCTCCAAAGTTGTTACTTACTTTGCACTTATGCAATTACCTCTAGAGTGCCTCGTTTTATTGGATTTAGCACCAGGAAACGTTTGAGAAGGTTTTCACAGTCTGTGGACATGTAGAAAGGGATTCTGTATTTCCCTCTTAATACTCTTTCTCTCAGTTCCTTTGGGGATGGAGGGAGGAAAGAAAACTAGTGAGTCAACTTTTAGGTTAAAAAAGAACCAGTGAGACCCCATGATACTGACAGATTCTTATAATATTAACCCTCATCATTTTATAAAATCTTTTGCATTCTGAAGAACGTGGATGCAACTGGTTCTAATACCTTTAGGTTCTGTCCGTCAAAGGGGAGCGACCCGCTGACAAGAGTGTAGAGGATGACGCCCAGGCTCCACACGTCCACTTCTGGCCCGTCGTATTTCTTGCCCTGGAAGAGCTCTGGGGCTGCATATGGAGGACTGCCACAAAACGTATCCAGTTTACTGCCAACAGTAAATTCATTGCTAAAACCAAAGTCAGCTATTTTAATGTTCATATCAGCATCTAACAATAGATTTTCGGCCTAGAGGGAAAACATCAAGACAAAAATGAAATTTAACCAAAATATAATTAGAACTGTGATAGAATTAGGCATTTCATAAAAGCTTTCTGTAATGATATCAAGTTAATATATCCTAATGAATAAAATGAGAAAACATTCTTTCTAGAGGAAAAAAAAAAAACAACCCTGAAGATAATTAGAATTTCTAATTCTTTTTTTTTTTTTTTTAAGTAATTGCCACACCCAATGTGGGCTCAAACTCACAACCCTGGGACCAAGAGTCAGATGCTCTATTGATTAAGCCAGCCAGGCGCCCCAGAATTTCTAATTTTTTTAAACATTAACAACCAGTAACAGATATGAGGTATAGATTAACTGGCAATAATTTAAACAACCAATGCCCATGATAAAAAAAAAACAAAAAAACCTTGAAACAGCTTTTAAAAAATGAAAACTTGTTTTAAGTGGACAACCATGTTTCATAAAAACTGCCAAAGAGCTGTGCAATGGCTATTATTGGGGAGGGAGAACCTAGGCCTCATAGAAGATACAGAGCCAGCCACTTTCATTTATTTCAACAAGCATTTACCACGTGCCAATCACATACCAGAAACAGACATGGTGTCTGGATGTACAATGATGAATAAGATAGATGGAGTCTTGCCCTCAAAGAGCTCATAGGTTGGAGGGGGAAAGGCAGAAAGTCAAGTGGCCACACTCTGACCTGAGTGCCAAGACAGGAGGTGTGGGGGGCTGTGGGCCTAGCACTGAAGGAGCAGAAAGGTCTCCTAGAGGGGCGAAATCAAAGCCACTGCCTGGAGGCTTGGTCAATAGTAGTGGGTGTGTTGGCCCGCAGAATACAGTCTGAAAACCCAGGAGGAAAGACAGACCATGTTTTACTCAAGAAACTGAAAGACAGTATATGGAAAAGAGGTGCAGGGGATATGGCGATGACTGAATCACAAAGGGCCAGTTGAGTGACTGGTAGGAAGTTTGAGTTTTCAACCTAATGGCAATGGAAAGCCATTAAAGAGTCACTCAAACAGGAAAGCGACAATGTTATTTGTGTTCTTAAAAGACCACTGTGGGGGCGCCTGGGTGGCGCAGTCGGTTGAGCGTCCGACTTCAGCCAGGTCACGATCTCGCGGTCCGTGAGTTCGAGCCCCGCGTCGGGCTCTGGGCTGATGGCTTGGAGCCTGGAGCCTGTTTCCGATTCTGTGTCTCCCTCTCTCTCTGCCCCTCCCCCGTTCATGCTCTGTCTCTCTCTGTCCCAAAAATAAATAAATGTTAAAAAAAAAAAAAAAAAAAGACCACTGTGGTTGTAATGTGTAAAACAGACAGGACAGGGAGAAGCAAGATTGGAAGCAGGGAAGACCAAGCAAGAAGCTAGTGTACAAGATGCTGGTGGTCTAGATGAGAACAGTGGTAACAGGGACAGAGAAGAGTGTGCTCAAGACAGGTTTAGCAAAAGGGCCTGGGGGCTGAGAGGGCAGCAGAGCAAAGGAGACTGAGGCACCGAGGGACACAAGCACCAGAACGAGAGGTGAACATTCTGGGGCAGCAATGAAGAAGGAAGGCTGTGGACCTGAGCAGGGGCGCAGGTGATGTGGTCAGACAGCTGGGCACCAGACTGCAGAAGACAGCTCTGGCTGCAGGCATGGATCCAGGACTCGCCAGCATGCAGGTGGCCACTGCAGCTACCAGCGCAGGTGCGAAAGCAGCACGGGTGGGTATGGGAAACAGGGAGGAATGTGGACAATGTTTGGAGAGATATGTGGCAAAGGCGGAGAGAGAAAACGGAGGGTATCTGGAAGGGGACGTGGGGTGAAGAGGTGTTTTGGTGAAGGTAGTACAGACTTGAGCATGTTTTTGTAAAGGCTGCTGGTGAGAAGCCAGCAGGTAGAGAGGGTGGATGAAGAAACAGGAGTCAGGAACCAGGACCCAGAGGCAGGGCCTGCAGGGCCAACCTACTGACCATAACAACAGGAAGGGGGCATGTGGTACAGCTTACTCTGGGAAACCAAAGGAGTTCCTGCCTGGTGGAAACTAGAAAACCTTATCCTATGCCAAGAGCGAGGGCAGAGGTGAAGGAAGGATGGTGCAGCAGGTCTCCAACGGCGCTGCTGTTAACAGAAGACAATGCTGACCAGAGAAACAGAGGGGGCCAGGTGGCGCGGAGGGCACTGTCCACGTGACAGCATACGTCTCGGAGGCCCCCAGCTGTTTGGCAGCATGATGGTTTTTCTCCAGAGACCAGCTATGAGCTACGTTAATTGAAATGTAAAATATTTTTAATAAACTTCCTACTTCTTTCTTTTTAATACCAAAACCTGATTAAAAGGATCAATTATTATAGGATTTATTTTTTTCTTATTTAATAACACAGTCTAATCTGTGACCGCTAGGAAAACTGAGTGCATGCAGATAGAGCACACGCTCACAGACTAAGGGCCCCACAACTTACCTTGAGGTCTCTGTGAACAATCCGCTTTTGGTGGCAGTACTGGACTGCAGATACTATCTGCACAGGAGAGACACAAGGTTATTAATCATCATTAAGAAGAAAAGACTCCACTGATGTTCACACATGCCAAATACTTAGTGACCACCTGAATGTGTGGATCTCTGAAAATAATTTTCTTGTGCTTTGAACTTTCCAATTCGGAGAAATTCAGGGGTGAGGGTGAGAAGAGAAGGGTGAGGATGTTTTTGTTGCTCTCTAGTTTTAACTGTAAAGTCTCCTTTGGGACCTACCCCTTGACATTCCGGTTCTTTGGGAATGGTGCCAGGGTCCAACAAATCACCAGGATCTTGAGGACCCTCTTTGTCCCCAGACCCAGGATCGGATGGCTCGGGTGCAAGCTTCCCATACTCATGTAATTAACTCAAAACCAAACTGGCAGTTACAGACTATCAATGGCCAGGCGTCCATCCAGGTCGGGTCTCCTCTGTTAATCACTTCTCTTCCCAGTCAGACTGCTCCTTATAACACTCTCTTCCTTTTAGCTGATGCGGGTGCAAAGACAGCAAAACTTACTTCACCTCTCTGAGGATCAGTTTCCTCTTCCTCAAAGTGGAAGAGTAAATGTTTTTAACGTGTGAACTACAAACCATGGAATGGTTGTGTGCTCCATCGGTCAGGGTCCCTTCCACACTCAGCAAATGGTATGCTTTTATTTAGTCCACTTTGGATTATTCCTGTGATTAGTACTGCTGATTAAACAACTATTTTGCTGAAATTTCACACTTCCGCCTAACTTTTTAAGAAGTCTCCTTTTCTAAATATGAATGTTTTAGATGCTCATTATAGGAATTTTAGGAAATACAGAAAGGTATATATAAGTACATGACTGATAACATCTCTTGTTGTTTTACTGTATCTGCTTCTAGTCTTTTCATTGGTATTATGCCTGTGTAACTATGTATGACCACATATACACAAAACTGGGGTTCTAAAGCTTTCTCCAGATCATCATCAGCTTTTAGTTGTAAGCCCCACACACCCACCTACACTGGACATAAACATTCAGAGAGGCTGTTTTTTAAGGAGGCTCCGCACCCAGTGTGTGGTATGAGCTCACTGAAGAGTCGCATGCTCTACTGATTGAGCCGGCCAGGCACCCCAGGCTGTTTTATCAATTTGCATTTTGGTTCAAAACAGGCAGCAAGGAGAAGCTGGACTGGGGTTAGGGTGAGGTGAGGCCAAAATCAGGGCTTCACTAAGCAGCTTCATACTTCATAAAGTGAATAGTCACAAGATCAGATCAGATCCACTTATAACCAACAAAAAATAGAAAATTTCTAATGGTAAAATACGGTTTAGAACACTTGTTACCTTGGATTAGCATTTACACTTGTTCTAGTCTGTCTGCATGAAAACTGAGAAAATGACATTGCTTTGTTTTCCCAAGACAAACACGTTTATTGCCTGAAACACAGGTAGAGTTTACCTTCCGCCTGATGATCTGATTTTCCCTCTCCTGCCATACTGAGATTCCCCTACAGGTTATTTCCAAACTCTGTTTTTGAACCAGATTTGACCATCTCCCATCCTTCCTCAAAGAGATCACAGAACTTCTCCTACCTTAGAACAAGTGAACCTAAAGCCACAATAGCCTGAAAATGGTCAGCTTTAAATCACTGCGGTATTTTTTGCATTCTTTTAAGCTAGAAACAATTCTTTCTTTAAAAAAAACAAAAACAAAAACTGAGGATCTGTGTGTTTTCCAGATTGAAATATGAACACAAGCCTAATTTGCCTCTAGCCAGACAGGAGACAACAGAGGCAGCAACGTTACCAACCCCCTAAGAAGAAGGTGAGGAAGGCAAGACGGAGCCGGGAATCTAGTCTTTCTCTCTGAAAACAACAGAGCTCTTGTTCAAAAGCTTAAAACCACACAAGCAGTCACTAGGAGGAGAATGGCGAAGGAGACATCACCTGCTAACGGATGTGAAAAGAAAGGCCTATTTCTGACACAAAACATGATCCTACCGAGTGTACTTTTTGTACGGCATACCTTCTTCTTTGCCACAAACAGGAAAACGTATTCAAGTAAGGATGGCTTATAACCTTTTGGAAAGCATGGCTATTCGAATCAGAGCAAAGAGGAAACACCAGTATCTCACTTGATCCTTCCAGGCTTAAGTGAGGGGTCTTAAGGAAATACTAAGGCAAGAAGAAAGAATTACATTAAATTGTAAGCAGTGTAAATCAAGTCATTCGTAGGAAAGGCACATACACTATCTTTCCTGGACAAACTAATAGGTTCCTCAAATAAAGAACTCAGAATTTCTGCAGAAAATTTAAAATAACTGAGCAAGTGCCTCAAGATTTGGGGTAGTCGATGTCCAAGCCCCTCTGACAAGTGAGACCCCGCCAGGGGGCTGGGTAGAGACGGAAGAAGTGAGGGGCAGTTACAGGGTTAAGCACCGAGCTGCTTCCTTGGAGAAGGTCAGGCTCAAACCTGTTGTTGCTGGCTGGCGCTAAGCAGCCCACTCCTCACAGTCAACAGACCACATTCACATAAATGTGTGCAAGTTAGACAGATTCATCTGAGTGGGAAGGAACTGAAGTTTTAGGAGGAAAGAAAAAAAAAATCTTGGCTTTTAAGGGGCCAATTTACAAAAATTAAGAGTACAGTTATGGGAAGGGCCAAACAGGCTTGTCTTGTAATAAAGAGAACCTTGAGCTTCCCTCCACAGACCACAGAATAAAATGATAGGAGAACTGGAAAGTACTTCAAAGTTTATCAAGTACAAATTCCAATTTTTGAGCTAGAAAAACGGAGGATATGAGAAGTTAAATAATAGCCAAAAGTTAGTTTCAAATTTTGATATTTAATAGGTTTTAATTCAAAGTATCATTAGTATTTAAGCTTTTAAATTAAATTTAAGGAACAGAAGTTAATCTGAGCAGCAAGTTCTTAACTGTAAATACCAGACTAAGCAAAAGAGGCAACTGTTAAAAGAAATCTGGAAAATCAACTAAAATTGTCTTTCCAAATACTATGAAATCTTTAAAGACTACTGTCTATACCTCTACTGTGGCAACCTTATAGATAAATAAAACAAAAAAATTAAAGGTTCTGAAACGAGGCTATACTGCCGTCTACATACAGAACTGATTGATGTCTAGCGAAGTACAGAGTTAATTTAATGTTTTTATTTGTTTTGACAGACAGAGTGCACGTACATGTGAGTGGGGGAGGGGCAGAGAGAGCAGGAGGGAGGGAGAGAGGGGGAGAGAGAGAGAGAGAGACAGAGAGAGACAGAGAGAGAGAACCCCAAGCAGGATAGAGCCTCATGCGCTCGATCCTAGGAACAGTCAGATCATGACCTGAGCCAAAATCAAGAGTCAAACGCTTAATCGCCTGAGCTCCCCAGGTGCCCCAGTACACTGTTAGTTTAAAAGCAGTAAACGGGGTGCCTGGGTGGCGCAGTCAGTTAAACGTCCAACTTCAGCTCAGGTCATGATCTCACAGTTTGTGGATTCAAGCCCCACGTCGAGCTCTGTGCTAACAGCTCAGAACCTGGAGCCTGCTTCTGTTTCTGTGTCTCCCTCTCTCTCTCTCTCAAAAATAAGAAACATTTAATTAAAGGAAGGAAGGAAGGAAGGAAGGAAGGAAGGAAGGAAGGAAGGAAGGAAGGAAGGAAGGAAGGAAGGAAGGAAGGAA